CTTTGTGTAATGTCTAATTGCCAGAAAAGTCCATATGTTTAAAAAATTAGCATACACCCCCTATGCTGAGAAGTCAAAGCCAATATAGCCCCTGCGAGCTGATCTTGCGCTACACTCGTCGATTTTGCGACTGGGAGTGTTTTTTAACTTGAAAATACCAAAATACCATTTAAATTATATTTTTGAAAATTACAGAGTCACCCCATAAAAGAATCATCTTTCAATTTAGTCAACATTTTCAAAAGGCCCTCTTCTCCAAATCAACCATTCATTACAAAAAATCATCTTTATCTTCCCATTTCCGGCGAGCCCATGAGATTGAGAAGGAGAATCGCATCCCGGCTTCGGGTTTCAAGAGTCCGGATTATCTTTCTTCTCGTCAGCCATTTGTTCGAGGTGGGGGCACCGTCGCTGCCTTGTACGAGCTTAAGAGCAATTGCATTGGGTGGGATGGAGATGGTGCATGCCCATAACACCAATAATAGGCTGCCGATTTGGGGAGATTTTTGCTTGAAAATAACATTAGTTTTGAGGTGGATGTTGAGAGGACATCTCTGAATGATTTTGGATAATTGGAAATTGGATTTGCCGACGACAGAGGTAATTATCTCTAATGTCCATCTCAAAACTTCAATTATTGGTCGCGGAGAGAGAGGTGGTGGAATTTGATGTGAATTGGAGATGAACCGAATCAAACCGATGCGGAGTATAGCGCATAGACGGCGGAGATGGTGGTTTGTGGAGGAGGAGCAGGATGAGTTGGTGGTGGGGTGGGTGTACGGGTATTGTTACTGAAGAAGATGACTTATTTTTTATTGTTTCATATTTACTGTATATACTTTTTCATTATGTTTTGTTAAAAAAATAAATAATAAGTTTGTTCTTTTTTTATACATTTTTTTTATTTTAAATAATTTGTAATATATATTTATTTTTAATAACTACTAAAATAGAGGGTGATGCAGCATAATTTTATAATGGTAATATAGTCATTTCATTATAGTCAACATTTTTTTTCGAATAAGGGGTGGTACTTTAAATAAAATTCATCATAGGGGGTAAATGCTAATTGTTTTAATATGGGGGTTTTTTCGTCAATTAGACTTTTCACATGGGGTGTATGCAATTAACTCTAACTAATTAATAGGCTCGTTTTGGTTAGTATGTGCCATTTGATTTCTAAGGGCCAAAGCCCTATTTATACTCCCAACCCCAAATCTTGAAATCCGGTCCAGGAGGCCCATTTACTTGTATTTTATTTTAGGCTAGATTACACATACATCTTTAAGGTATGTTCAAATATTTTTAAGGCCCATGTGGTATCAATAATTACAATAATCCCGAAACATTGTTAGAAACTCCCATGGAATAATACAATTACTTTTGTGACTTTTATTATTAGTAATACAAATATTATGATTTTATTAGTTTTCTAATAAAGATTAATGAATATCCTTTCTTTTCTTCATTGAATATTTAAATTTTATATAAATGTCATTTTTTTTGCAGTTTATCTCATTTATTTATTCTAATTTAGAATTAATTTGTAAAATATTTAAAAAAATGTCAGCTTTGTCGGATTAGTTTTTTTCTCAACACTAGGACGCTGTATATAGTAATTTAAAAATAATTAAGATAATGTGATATTGTAAATTTAAATTAATAAGAAAATTATGTACAAACATTATATATATTTTATTATATTTTAATATGTACATCTAATTTTAAGGAGGATTAAGATGTTGACTAGAACACATTTTCATTCGGTGAGTTATAAAGTGGACCCTACCTTTAGGACATAAATAAATTAAAGGGTAAATACTAAATAGCACTTAATCCCCTTGTGGTTTGGACATTTTGCACATGACCCCCTTATGGTATGAATTTAGGCACATAACTCCCTTGTAGTTTTGACATTTTGCACATGACCCCCTTATGGTATAAAATTAGGCACATAAACCCCTTGTGGTTTTGAAATTTTGCGCATGACCCCCTTATGGTATGAAATGTTGGGGATGAAAGATATTTTTTTTTTTTGTGGAATGAGAAAGAATTAGGCGCGATGAAAATGAGAAAGGGTAATGGTGGAAAAGTTAATCGGTCATATTATCTAGGGAAAATTGCGGTCACTTCCGAGGTAAGATATATTTACAAAAAATCTATCTTATTTGCATAATTACAACCACCCACCTCAATTATGTATTGGCTTACTCGTCCACTCTTATAATTTCAAATTTATCTAGGGGCGTTCATCCGGTCAGTAAACCGAACGAAAATTCGTATATGCCGATTACCTTACCGTTAATTCTGCGTAGTATTCATTTTTATTTTATTTTATTATATATATATATATATATATATATATATATATATATATATATATATATATATATATATATATGATGTACTTTATTAACCAATAAGTCAATTAGTATGTGGGCCATTTAAAATGTCTGATACATCTACAAGGTGATTAACTAATGGCTCAATTCCATTAATAAGATCTTACAAGCCCATTAGAATTTACTAATTCTACTTAGGGTTCTACTCTAATATGGATTCTACTAATTACATTATAAATACTAAAATTAATTTAAAAAAATCAAAATTTAATTATTTTTAATAAAATTTTGGTAATTTGATTATTTATTGAATCAAATGCAAACGGTATGAAATGTTAGCGTACCGCAATTTCTGTACAATTTTATTGTATGAAAACCCCTAAATTTATCAACTTGAGGGATTTTTCGTAAGATAATGGGGTACTTGTAATTATGCAAACAAGAGGGGTATTTTCATAATTTGAAATTACCTCAGGGGTGGTCGTAATTTGCCTTATTATTTATTCCTTAATGAGTCGTTACATGTTTTGATGATAATGAACACATTACGTTTTTTAGTAAATGTAGGACATTTCTCAATTTTGTAACTTTTACCTCTACTACAATCATTTTGTCATCTAAATTCGAAATTATGGAGAGCAAAATCGGATGGAATTCGGTTTTGTGTTATTAACGGGGAGTTCGCTACAAATTAATCTATTACCTATATTACACCCATTTTGTTTTAAGGTGGTGTTTGCAAACGCTTTTTGAAAGTGATTATGAGTTTTTTTTGCTCATAATTTGTTTTCAGGTGTTTGTAAAATTAACTTTTGTTTTTGCTTCTCTTAAAATAATCTGATTTAAGCTATTCTTTTAAAAGCACTCCTAACCCTGTTTTTTCCATTTAAGTTCATTTTCCGGAATATTTGCAAACAACCCAACTTTTAGAAATAAGCATTTAAAACTGACTTAACTCACAATCATTAACTTCTGCTTTTAAATAATCATTTGCAAATATCACCAAAACCGATATAAGTTTATTGATTTAAAACAATTAAATTTTACCTCTATTACACCCATTCATTTTAAACTAATATAGCTGGTCCTCTAGTGAAGTCACGGTGATGTCTAGGTCATAAGGACTAATGGTGTACAAGTACTACAACTATACCATAGATATCTCTACTCGATTATTGAGAACCACTTAGAGATTTCTAGGGTGAGGGAGTTCAGTAAACTCGTCAACTTACGAGCACCTACTTATGCATGCCGATATCACAATACCGTTTACTGATGAGATGCAGCACACATACACTAAGTGCTAGTCTCTTAATGAGAAATGCCGATATCCTCATTGGTGGCGTAACCCTTCGACTAGGAACACGTTTAACAGTTATAATACTAAAGTAAGTATCTCACGATCCTAAAGATCAATTACTAGTACTTGTAATAACTGTAAGGGCTATATCTATGTTTGAGACAAAGAGACAAAGATATAGAATGCCAAGGTGTTTTTATTATTAATACGAAAAATGATTATTTATTACAAGAATAAATGGAAAGACCACAGCCACATGTTGGCTTGTTGGTCATCTACTCTAAAAATACTATGATGTACTAGGTATTATTTAACATTTTTAAATTGCATCTAGCATTTTTGTTATTTTATTTTTACGTGGAATACGTTTCTCTTTTTGTTTTTTTTCCATTATCTATAAGAATATATTCATTTTCTTTTTTATCTCTATATAATATTGAAAATTATGATTTTTTATTTTCAAACCCCATCACGTTTTGATGATGGGGTTAAGATTTCAGCTTAAATAATTATTTAGGTTATTAATTAATATGCCTTAATTACTAATTAAAAAAAATCTATATCTGCTCAGCCAAGTGTCGGCCAATTTTTAATGAACTGTGTTGAATTTGAATATATAGTTAGCTGGCCGGTTCATGTGAAATTAGTCAAATTACAAATGTTTGTGTGTTTTTTATTCGAATTTCGCTCGACTAAACATTAAGGATGGATAGTCGTCTTCGATGCATCGTCCCTCGAATAATTATGCAGGATACAATCTACTCGGAGACTGTAGCATATATTGAAGTCAAATTAACCTCGTCAATTTAACTTAACTAATAAGTCGTACCTTCAAAGACGCCGAATATATATATGATAGATCCGATTTTTATTTTTAATCTTATCTTACCTAATACATATGATTATTGGTGTAATAAATTTGTGTATATACTATTTAAAGTAATAAATTCAGATATAGATAACTTCTATACAGTTTGTCGGTGTTACACGTGTTGAAATGCATCAAATAAGTTAAAATGTAGATATGTATAAAATATATATGGATTTGTACACCAACTATAGAACAAATTCTTTGGCATGCATATACATATATGATTATGTAAGAAAGTAGACATATTAGGGTATTTTGTTGTCTATTTACAAAATAATTAAATAAAAAAGTGAAAAATGGAAAAAATGGAGAAAATGAATGGGGGTAGGTGTGGTATTGACCAACACACGCACACAAACCCCATCACGTTTTGATTAATGAAAAAAGTCCGATTTTCACTTATAAAAGGAGCATCCGTTTAGTCTCTGTTTAAATTCCCACCTCCATAATATATTAAAAAAAAAAAAAAAAAAAGTGAGCAGAGTTTTTAGTATTCACAGACACTATGCCTACCGCCGTGGTGAACAACACGGCCGCGAAAATAGCGGTCGTTTCACGATTCGTCGCCGATTCCACCGGAAAGACGTATGCCGGCACGAATAAGTTCGAGATTCCGGCGAATGGTCGGAAGAACATTCCGTCCAGCGTCTTCACCAAGGAGACGATGGAGGAGCGGGTGCCTATTGAGGTTCATATCCAGATCGGCGGAATAACGCTCGGAGTACTGAAACACGAAGATTTCGAGAACAACAAGTCCATCATCTTCGACGGCGGTTGCGACGGCGGAATCGCGGTGAGGTTTGTCCGGCATGAGGTGGAAACAGGATTTCGCTGCTTCTGGTATATATCTCTCTATTCTATCTCTTCTCACAACTACAAGTTTGATTGATTATTCAGTTCATTGTTCATCCGATTGATTATTCAGTTGTTGATTTTGGAATTACTTCTCTGTTTTATTTCAATTTATTTATTGATCTTAATTTATCTAAATTTGTTTCCCTGATAGTGGAATTGTACCATTTGGGAGATTGGGAAATGCTGTAGCAGCTCCTCAGGATGAACAGGTAAATATTTCTTTACTTGTTTATTATTATTATTATTATTATTATTATTATTATTATTATTATTATTATTATTATTATTATTATTATTGTTGTAAATTACGGCCACCTCATGAGGTAAGTTTAATTTACGAGAAACACTTTATTGTTGGGCAACTACAATCACTCACCAACTATGAATCTTCTTACACGTGCATCCTTATGGTGTCAAATTTAGTGGAACTTTCTAGATTGTGTCGAATATTCTCGATTTTACCCGTTTTACCCTCATTCGAGCTCCGCATATTGAAACAAGATGATCATAAGATGTGTCTCTTTACTTGTAATTATCAAATTGTGGTGCATCAGAAACTGTATTTTTGCACAAAACGAGTTCAAATTAAACTATTAAACATTCCACGAAATCTAGAAGATTATGTTGAAGACTTATGGTTGAGGGGTGGTTGTAATTACCCAAACATGAAAAGTTTTTTCGTAATTTAACCTCTAAGGTATCCTTAGAGGGTGGTCGTAATTTACCCTTGTTATTATTATTCTTACAATTTAATTAGTTGAATATTTATGTCAAATATCAGCAGAAGATATACTTGAACACCATGCCAAAATCTTGCCTATTCCTTTCTTTGTCTTGTTTTTGCTTTCAAACTCCTCCACATGTGAAATTAACTTTTGTGCATTACAGCAGTTTGCCTAAATAACACGCGCACACACACACGTTACAACACTAGCCTTCTGCATCCAATATTTCTACAGAAATTAGCTCCACCGACGAGCTTCTGATTGGCGATTTGTTTGGTTCATAGAATATTCATGTGGAAAGAACACTCTCTCTCCAACTGTGCTCGCTTTTGCTGATGAGTTAGACGACATAACTTGAGCACTCGTGTCTCTTTTCTTTCCACGTAAATATTCTAAGAACCAACGTGTATCAAATATTTGGGGTTTAGATTTGCAGCACGTGGCTATAAACGGGACCAGAATTGGGTAATATCGAGTCCAACCTCAACCATGAAAAATCCTATGAAAGATATTACACAATACTAGGATTGTATAATCATAAATCTCAAACATAATGGAGAATTTAATTTTATCAAATTCAATCAATCTATATTATTACATTCTAGTTTGCCATATTTCGGATTCACATAAATATCTTTTGCTTGAATGTGTTTCGAACGAACTCCGGATGAGATGGATTGTTAAGATTAAAACCCCCCCCCCCCCCCCCCCCCCCCCCCCCCCCAATGGCTGAAAAAAAATAGCTTAAACCGAGAGCTAAAGACTTGAATCCAATATCGGATGAATCAGTCGAAACAAGTTTTATGAATCTGTTATTGTGAATTAATTTTTTTTTTCCTTCAATCTTCCGATCGAAGTGCAACCTTTAGTTTTTGTGAGAATTCATGAGCCAATAGGGAAATAAATTTTGCAGCTCTCTTGGATTTACATGTGAATTCCCTCATCATCTCTCTCTCTGTCTGTTATATTTTTTTGGTTAAATAAATTTTAATTTTGTTACAATAAGGAAAATAATTGTCTGTTAAAATTGAATGACTGAGGGGAGAAAGTGTTTGATTTGAGGGTTCAATGTTGCCAATTTTTTAAATTTGAGGGGTGCAATGTGCAAATAAATCTACCAGGAGGGTTAAAATTCCAATTACTAATTCGAAAGAACCAGAATTATATTTACTGCTCATATTAGGGGTGGGTTTTTTTTACCAAATTGCCCTACCAACCCGATGCCCTACCGTATCGTACCGATTCTCTACCGAAAAATCTCTACCGAATTATTACCGTACCCTACCGAAATGTTTTGGTAGGGCAACGGCACTTAACATTATTAAAATGGTAATGCCCTACCGTACCGAAATATTATTAATAAATAAAATTTTATTTTAATAATTCAATTTATTATATATAATTGATGTTAAAAGTTCTTATGTTATAATTTTATTTAAGAAATATTTTACATTAGGTAAATTTAGAACATATATTAGGACACTTATATTTTAAAAATTAGTTTTGTACATTTTAAACATGTATACCTTGAATTCCTTTGAAAAAAATGATATTCAATTTAGACTTAAATAATAGATAATATAAATTGGTAATTACCATTACCATACCCTACCGTACCGAACTTTTGGTATACCGAAATCGGTATACCGAAGTTTTTGATAGGGTAATGGTAATGGATTTCATAATACCGA